TGAGTTGTATTTTAAAATAATTATTGACGAATTATATTTTTTTAAAAATTATTTCAATTATTATAAATTGCACCTATCGCTATGGTGTTTAGTACCATATATAATTAATAAAATTTAGGGTGCATTTTTAATATACTGTATAACTTCATATAAAAGGTCCAAATTTTGTCATGCCTAAGGTTTTCGGTGGGTCCTGAACATTTTTACTAGAACCCGACCCTAATTACTTAGTATGTTTTTGAGAAATATATAGCATCTATTATCCGTCAGACTTTTTTATGCATATAGACAATATAAAAATCATTTTTGCGTTAATAATTAAAAGTCAAAATTTTGTATGCATTTAGAGAGTATATGCAATTAGACAGTATCACCTGTATTTGTTACCGAGTTATATTACTTTTAATTGTATATAAAACATTTGCCGTCGGTATTTGTAGTTGACTGTATTAAGAAAACCTAGTATCAGATGCAGCAGCTATTGTTATAGAGCTTAAATAGTGACTTTTAATTATTATTGCTCGATTAAAATTTTTTTATAAAATTGCATTACGTAGAAAACTCATCGTAGGTTAGGTCTTAATTGTGCATAGCAAATTACACGTAGTTTTAAAATTATTAAAATTGTCTGTGAAACAAGGTGTCTGTGAAATAAACTTCTATGAAGTAATACGTACCCATACTTTGGCTTAATTATTAGTTAATTCCAACGTCTCAGCAATATTTTACTTTCAAACTCTTAAATCTCTCATCCTTGAATGTATAAATGTCTCTAAATTAGCAATACTATCCAACCCAACATATTCACTCAACAATATCATTATCTAAGTACTCGTCATACTTGATGATTAAGGATAAGGGTGGGAGATAATAACAGTTTAAAAATTTTTTTATTGTTTTTTCATTATGTAACTGCATGACAGCGTGTAAATTCCGTTGTAGTACAAGATTTTACTACTCAGTTCTAAAATTTTGCTTTCGGTTTTTTCTCCAATAAGCCATACATTTCGTTCCTGCTATGCAAATAACCAGAACTACATCATATGGGTGCCACTAAGGGAAAAAACCAGACTTTGATTTTAAATTTATACATATCAATAGACTGAATCCTAAGTTTAAAAGCATTAAAGTCATATGTCAAAAGAGAATATCTGCCTCTTCTCTAAATTTCTCTTGTTTGAACTCTTATCTGTTACTGTATGATAAACTGTTGATAAAAATATTTCTAGTATAAGTACTAGTGTCCTGATAAAGAAACATTCAGAAAAGCATTACATATATTTATTGAGATTCTGTGAATTCGGAATCCATTTCTAACAATAGTTTTGAAGGCATTTTATTTACGCCGGTCTGCTAATCAAAATACTGAAATGTCGTAATGGTTCACGACCAACGTTGCTATTAAAAAAAAATATTGTGAAAAAGAGATTCAAAAACATTGTCGCTCTTTACTTCATCATACCTTGCTTGGAACGATAAAAAGAACGTCTTTTAGATACGTATGTGCGTAAGTTCATTTCAACATCCTCCGTTTCAAATTGATTCATTAACATCATATTAATTTGCTATAGATAAAGATCGTAAAAAACTGAATTAAAAACTATAATAACGTATTTTCCAAAAAAGACAACAATTACGATCTTCCCAGTCGATAAACCGAAATAGTAACTCCTTTATTTGGAGGTCTCTGTGTTCCTAATCTCGTCAGAAGTAATCGCACTATACCCCATAACCCCAAAAAATTTTGGAGGTCAAAAATTAATAAAACTTTATCAAAAATCGGATATCGTAATAAATAAAACTTATAACCAATAAATATTATCTCCTGTTCAAAAAATTTATAAAAAGTTGTAAAATACTATTTCTTCGTTTACATAGGCTATCCTTAAGAATGTCTTTCCAGAGTTTATATATCCTCTGCACCATTTACTTTTTCAGTTCATTTATTCCTCAAGTCATGGCTTTTAATGGCTTTTCAATTCCAATACCAAATGATGTGACTGTTGTAGCTCTTGTTGCATGGATCTTTTACGAACTTGGCAACCTTAAAGAGACCACAGCAATCCGCATATTTCGTGCAATTGATGATATTGTAATTCAGTTTGGATTTTATTCGAGTATCATTCTTTCATGTTTTTCACCTGGCACATCTTGTGAAGATGTAAAGCCCATTTTATTTATTTTTATGTTTATAACAACTATATTTCTTATTTGGTTCAATTGGTATTTCTGGAATATCTCTCCAGAAAGAAACTGGGTCCATAGAACCTGCATCTGGTTGTTTATAATGAGTTTTGCTCACGCGTTTATTTTTAAAACGCAGATCAAAGACGGAAAAGATTCATTTTGGTCCATGCTTACTTTTCTTTTTATTTTAATCTCCTTGTTTGTCTGTCTCAAATCAATAAATAAGAATGTCAAATCTATTATATTCCTCTTAACTGCACTTTTATGTCTTAGCAATAGCTATGATTCATTGCCTAGTAATTATTACCATCAACTCG